TCATACGGCTAAGTGTGTCTCCATTGTGCCTTTGTGACTTTGTCATTGGCATCCTCGTTCACAGCGCCTGGTCTGTAGTGCCAATACGCACTTAAGTATGAAGTCACAATCACATTGTGTGACTCTAACATCAACCAAAATGTATAAGCGGCTCACCAACAAAACACGCGAATAATATTGTCACCAGAAAAAATCGAACCTCTTGTCTAACACAAAATGGATAGCCATGATTGGGAGAAGCTAGAGAAAACAGTTCGTGATATTCGTGAAAACACAGTCACCGCGCGTTCGAGGGCCACCTACCAGAACTCATACTGCCGCTTCCTCGCTTGGATTATCCGCAACAAGCCGCATCTCGTGCCCAAGCCCTTCCTCGATGGCCTCGGTGACATATCAGAGTGCACGTTGCAGCAGCTGCGCTCTCGTGTCAAAGATCTCGTTACGCAAAGACGCACTGTCATCCCGCTAGAGTTTGAGGCCTTAGATGCAGCTGATTTTGTCACATGGCTTGTGACGCTCGAGCGAAAGGATGGCTGTGCTCTAAGCTACTCTGCCCTAAACACTCACAGGGCGGGGTTGTTTAACTTGTTTCGCGACTACGGCCGTACCATGACCAAGAATTTAGACTCCGAGCTGACAAACTACTTTAAAGGACTCAAGCATAAACTTGCCAAGGACGCAGCGAACGGCGAGAGCTCTGTCAAGACTGGTAAGGACCCACTCATGTTTGATCTGTACTCTTTCTTGTGCAAAGAGATGCTCTCTCACTCGGGGAAGGAGATGGCATTTGCTCACGCGTACATGGTGATTGCGTGGAACCTAATGTGTCGGTCGTCTAATGCTTTTGGCATTCGCCATTCACACATGGAATGGAGGGGTGATGCACTGCAGATTTACTTCGCGCATATGAAGAATGATCAAGGAGGGGACCGACCGCGTGACCCGCGCCATATCTACGCGAGCCCGCTACAACCAAGTATTTGTCCAATTGTGGCACTAGGTATATATTGGGCGGTTTCTAATTTTGGCGACGGCGATCTCCTTTTTCCTGGCAGTAACCAATACGAGCGATTTCGGAAGTGCTGGCTGCGTCTACTGGCGCAAGAGAGTGTCGCGACGGAATTGCAGCGCCAAGGGATTGTCGCTACTGAGCTGGGGACTTACTCTATGCGGAAAGGATCAGCGACGTTTTGTTCGTCAGGGTCAACGGCTTGTCCTTCATCAACGGCGGTTCATTTGCGAGCCGGCTGGTCGCTTGGAGGTGTTCAAAACACCTACCTCCGATATGAAGCTGCTGGCGACATACATGTCGGTCGTACAGTGGCTGGATTGCCTACCGAAAGTTACCAGTTCTCGACGCTAGCACCACATTTTTGATTCACGAGATGAGAGCGTCGAAAACGGGATGAAGTTGATGTTCCCTGGCCTACCCAATAGGCTCGAGTACATTGCAGAGTTTTGTCTGGCTTCGCTGGTCTATCATTCCTCTTTCCTGAAGGCTACGCTTTCTCCACAGCACCATTTATTTGAGACGCCGCTATTCCAAGACGAAGAACTGCTATTAAATCTCACAACCAGAATCAGAACGGGTGATGGTTGCGCTGCGGCGCGTATACGACCGACTGGGGTACCACCTCACGTGGCTATACTCTGTGAAATGAAGGGTCTAAAGGACGGTTTGCTGGAATCGGTGTCAAAAGTTGAAGCTACCCGGCTTGATACTGTTCAAGATATTATATCCGAGCTCGAGAAGCGAGCTATAGGTGCTGGAACGGTTACTTACGACGGTCTTCATGATGCTATAAGAGCGTGTCTTCATGATAGTGGCGTTGGCGAGCTTGTCGAGAAGCTATCCAGCAGACAAGAATCTGTTGTCGACGCTGCCACTGAAGGCAACGAGGGTCAGCTTTGCCACTACTGGAGTGGAAAGTTTCGGCGTGTACCCGCAGATTTTACCATCCCTGATTGCTCCGTACGTCACGTGTGGGTGCTGTGGATGTGTGGTAACAAGTCGAAGCAGATACCACCGCTTCGCCGTCTTGATGGTCGTGATATGCCCAACAGGAAGATGCAGAAGCGTCTTAGCCAGCTTCGGTTTGTGATGCTCAAGATTGAGAAAGATGCAACATCTAAAGAGCTGTTTCCTTGTAGCACTGCCATCGATGCTGCAACCGATGTGTTCATTAAGTGCGCAAGCAGCGTCGCTGTAGACGACATCACCGAACACTCACGAAAGCGACGCCACGGGCAGCTGAGCTGGGCGACAGTAGGAAAACTGTTGAGGAAGAAAGCAAAAACAACAAGTCGTTAGCAGTGCGTATCAATGAGAACCAAGGAGCTACAAACTGCTTACATTTGTACCCACCTACCAAACATCATACAGAGCAGAATTGTTGGTTTGACAAATGTCTGACTAGTTCCGTCTAAGAATCATTCCCCCAAATTTGTACGACAATGTGGGACACACAGGTATTAGCGTTAGACATAAGGTCTAACATTTTCTGAAATCTTACTTCGCCTCCCTATATTCATCTGGAGTACAACGCCAGCAAATCGCAATTTGCGCAGAAGAAGTCAGACCTCTTGTCTAACACAAAATGGATAGCCATGATTGGGAGAAGCTAGAGAAAACAGTTCGTGATATTCGTGAAAACACAGTCACCGCGCGTTCGAGGGCCACCTACCAGAACTCATACTGCCGCTTCCTCGCTTGGATTATCCGCAACAAGCCGCATCTCGTGCCCAAGCCCTTCCTCGATGGCCTCGGTGACATATCAGAGTGCACGTTGCAGCAGCTGCGCTCTCGTGTCAAAGATCTCGTTACGCAAAGACGCACTGTCATCCCGCTAGAGTTTGAGGCCTTAGATGCAGCTGATTTTGTCACATGGCTTGTGACGCTCGAGCGAAAGGATGACTGTGCTCTAAGCTACTCTGCCCTAAACACTCACAGGGCGGGGTTGTTTAACTTGTTTCGTGACTACGGCCGTACCATGACCAAGAATTAAGACTCCGAGCTGACAAACTACTTTAAAGGACTCAAGCATAAACTTGCCAAGGACGCAGCGAACGGCGAGAGCTCTGTCAAGACTGGTAAGGACCCACTCATGTTTGATCTGTACTCTTTCTTGTGCAAAGAGATGCTCTCTCACTCGGGGAAGGAGATGGCATTTGCTCACGCGTACATGGTGATTGCGTGGAACCTAATGTGTCGGTCGTCTAATGCTTTTGGCATTCGCCATTCACACATGGAATGGAGGGGTGATGCACTGCAGATTTACTTCGCGCATATGAAGAATGATCAAGGAGGGGACCGACCGCGTGACCCGCGCCATATCTACGCGAACCCGCTACAACCAAGTATTTGTCCAATTGTGGCACTTGGTATATATTGGGCGGTTTCTAATTTTGGCGACGGCGATCTCCTTTTTCCTGGCAGTAACCAATACGAGCGATTTCGGAAGTGCTGGCTGCGTCTACTGGCGCAAGAGAGTGTCGCGACGGAATTGCAGCGCCAAGGGATTGTCGCTACTGAGCTGGGGACTCACTTTATGCGGAAAGGATCAGCGACGTTTTGTTCGTCAGGGTCAACGGCTTGTCCTTCATCAACGGCGGTTCATTTGCGAGCCGGCTGGTCGCTTGGAGGTGTTCAAAACACCTACCTCCGATATGAAGCTGCTGGCGACATGCATGTCGGTCGTACAGTGGCTGGATTGCCTACCGAAAGTTACCAGTTCTCGACGCTAGCACCACATTTTGATTCACGAGATGAGAGCGTCGAAAACGGGATGAAGTTGATGTTCCCTGGCCTACCCAATAGGCTCGAGTACATTGCAGAGTTTTGTCTGGCTTCGCTGGTCTATCATTCCTCTTTCCTGAAGGCTACGCTTTCTCCACAGCACCATTTATTTGAGACGCCGCTTTTCCAAGACGAAGAGCTGCTATTAAATCTCACAACCAGAATTAGAACGGGTGATGGTTGCGCTGCGGCGCGTATACGACCGACTGGGGTACCACCTCACGTGGCTATACTCTGTGAAATGAAGGGTCTAAAGGACGGTTTGCTGGAATCGGTGTCAAAAATTGAAGCTACCCGGCTTGATACTGTTCAAGATATTTTATCCGAGCTCGAGAAGCGAGCTATAGGTGCTGGAACGGCTACTTACGACGGTCTTCATGATGCTATAAGAGCGTGTCTTCATGATAGTGGCGTTGGCGAGCTTGTCGAGAAGCTATCCAGCAGACAAGAATCTGTTGTCGACGCTGCCACTGAAGGCAACGAGGGTCAGCTTTGCCACTACTGGAGTGGAAAGTTTCGGCGTGTACCCGCAGATTTTACCATCCCTGATTGCTCCGTACGTCACGTGTGGGTGCTGTGGATGTGTGGTAACAAGTCGAAGCAGATACCACCGCTTCGCCGTCTTGATGGTCGTGATATGCCCAACAGGAAGATGCAGAAGCGTCTTAGCCAGCTTCGGTTTGTGATGCTCAAGATTGAGAAAGATGCAACATCTAAAGAGCTGTTTCCTTGTAGCACTGCCATCGATGCTGCAACCGATGTGTTCATTAAGTGCGCAAGCAGCGTCGCTGTAGACGACATCACCGAACACTCACGAAAGCGACGCCACGGGCAGCTGAGCTGGGCGACAGTAGGAAAACTGTTGAGGAAGAAAGCAAAAACAACAAGTAGTTAGCAGTGCGTATCAATGAGAACCAAGGAGCTACAAACTGCTTACATTTGTACCCACCTACCAAACATCATACAGAGCAGAATTGTTGGTTTGACAAATGTCTGACTAGTTCCGTCTAAGAATCATTCCCCCAAATTTGTACGACAATGTGGGACACACAGGTATTAGCGTTAGACATAAGGTCTACCATTTTCTGAAATCTTACTTCGCCTCCCTATATTCAGCTGGAGTACAACGCCAGCAAATCGCAATTTGCGCAGAAGAAGTCAGACCTCTTGTCTAACACAAAATGGATAGCCATGATTGGGAGAAGCTAGAGAAAACAGTTCGTGATATTCGTGAAAACACATTCACCGCGCGTTCGAGGGCCACCTACCAGAACTCATACTGCCGCTTCCTCGCTTGGATTATCCGCAACAAGCCGCATCTCGTGCCCAAGCCCTTCCTCGATGGCCTCGGTGACATATCAGAGTGCACGTTGCAGCAGCTGCGCTCTCGTGTCAAAGATCTCGTTACGCAAAGACGCACTGTCATCCCGCTAGAGTTTGAGGCCTTAGATGCAGCTGATTTTGTCACATGGCTTGTGACGCTCGAGCGAAAGGATGGCTGTGCTCTAAGCTACTCTGCCCTAAACACTCACAGGGCGGGGTTGTTTAACTTGTTTCGTGACTACGGCCGTACCATGACCAAGAATTTAGACTCCGAGCTGACAAACTACTTTAAAGGACTCAAGCATAAACTTGCCAAGGACGCAGCGAACGGCGAGAGCTCTGTCAAGACTGGTAAGGACCCACTCATGTTTGATCTGTACTCTTTCTTGTGCAAAGAGATGCTCTCTCACTCGGGAAGGAGATGGCATTTGCTCACGCGTACATGGTGATTGCGTGGAACCTAATGTGTCGGTCGTCTAATGCTTTTGGCATTCGCCATTCACACATGGAATGGAGGAGTGATGCACTGCAGATTTACTTCGCGCATATGAAGAATGATCAAGGAGGGGACCGACCGCGTGACCCGCGCCATATCTACGCGAACCCGCTACAACCAAGTATTTGTCCAATTGTGGCACTAGGTATATATTGGGCGGTTTCTAATTTTGGCGACGGCGATCTCCTTTTTCCTGGCAGTAACCAATACGAGCGATTTCGGAGGTGCTGGCTGCGTCTACTGGCGCAAGAGAGTGTCGCGACGGAATTGCAGCGCCAAGGGATTGTCGCTACTGAGCTGGGGACTCACTCTATGCGGAAAGGATCAGCGACGTTTTGTTCGTCAGGGTCAACGGCTTGTCCTTCATCAACGGCGGTTCATTTGCGAGCCGGCTGGTCGCTTGGAGGTGTTCAAAACACCTACCTCCGATATGAAGCGGCTGGCGACATGCATGTCGGTCGTACAGTGGCTGGATTGCCTACCGAAAGTTACCTGTTCTCGACGTTAGCACCACATTTTGATTCACGAGATGAGAGCGTCGAAAACGGGATGAAGTTGATGTTCCCTGGCCTACCTAATAGGCTCGAGTATATTGCAGAGTTTTGTCTGGCTTCGCTGGTCTATCATTCCTCATTCCTGAAGGCTACGCTTTCTCCACAGCACCGTTTATTTGAGACGCCGCTTTTCCAAGACGAAGAACTGCCATTAAATCTCACAACCAGAATTAGAACGGGTGATGGTTGCGCTGCGGCGCGTATACGACCGACTGGGGTACCACCTCACGTGGCTACACTCTGTGAAATGAAGGGTCTAAAGGACGGTTTGCTGGAATCGGTGTCAAAAGCTGAAGCTACCCGGCTTGATACTGCTCAAGATATTTTATCCGAGCTCGAGAAGCGAGCTATAGGTGCTGGAACGGTTACTTACGACGGTCTTCATGATGCTATAAGAGCGTGTCTTCATGATAGTGGCGTTGGCGAGCTTGTCGAGAAGCTATCCAGCAGACAAGAATCTGTTGTCGACGCTGCCACTGAAGGCAACGAGGGTCAGCTTTGCCACTACTGGAGTGGAAAGTTTCGGCGTGTACCCGCAGATTTTACCATCCCTGATTGCTCCGTACGTCACGTGTGGGTGCTGTGGATGTGTGGTAACAAGTCGAAGCAGATACCACCGCTTCGCCGTCTTGATGGTCGTGATATGCCCAACAGGAAGATGCAGAAGCGTCTTAGCCAGCTTTGGTTTGTGATGCTCAAGATTGAGAAAGATGCAACATCTAAAGAGCTGTTTCCTTGTAGCACTGCCATCGATGCTGCAACCGATGTCTTCATTAAGTGCGCAAGCAGCGTCGCTGTAGACGACATCACCGAACACTCACGAAAGCGACGCCACGGGCAGCTGAGCTGGGCGACAGTAGGAAAACTGTTGAGGAAGAAAGCAAAAACAACAAGTAGTTAGCAGTGCGTATCAATGAGAACCAAGGAGCTACAAACTGCTTACATTTGTACCCACCTACCAAACATCATACAGAGCAGAATTGTTGGTTTGACAAATGTCTGACTAGTTCCGTCTAAGAATCATTCCCCCAAATTTGTACGACAATGTGGGACACACAGGTATTAGCGTTAGACATAAGGTCTAGCATTTTCTGAAATCTTACTTCGCCTCCCTATATTCAGCTGGAGTACAACGCCAGCAATTTGCGCAGAAGAAGTCAGACCTCTTGTCTAACACAAAATGGATAGCCATGATTGGGAGAAGCTAGAGAAAACAGTTCGTGATATTCGTGAAAACACAGTCACCGCGCGTTCGAGGGCCACCTACCAGAACTCATACTGCCGCTTCCTCGCTTGGATTATCCGCAACAAGCCGCATCTCGTGCCCAAGCCCTTCCTCGATGGCCTCGGTGACATATCAGAGTGCACGTTGCAGCAGCTGCGCTCTCGTGTCAAAGATCTCGTTACGCAAAGACGCACTGTCATCCCGCTAGAGTTTGAGGCCTTAGATGCAGCTGATTTTGTCGCATGCCTTGTGACGCTCGAGCGAAAGGATGGCTGTGCTCTAAGCTACTCTGCCCTAAACACTCACAGGGCGGGGTTGTTTAACTTGTTTCGTGACTACGGCCGTACCATGACCAAGAATTTAGACTCCGAGCTGACAAACTACTTTAAAGGACTCAAGCATAAACTTGCCAAGGACGCAGCGAACGGCGAGAGCTCTGTCAAGACTGGTAAGGACCCACTCATGTTTGATCTGTACTCTTTCTTGTGCAAAGAGATGCTCTCTCACTCGGGAAGGAGATGGCATTTGCTCACGCGTACATGGTGATTGCGTGGAACCTAATGTGTCGGTCGTCTAATGCTTTTGGCATTCGCCATTCACACATGGAATGGAGGGGTGATGCACTGCAGATTTACTTCGCGCATATGAAGAATGATCAAGGAGGGGACCGACCGCGTGACCCGCGCCATATCTACGCGAACCCGCTACAACCAAGTATTTGTCCAATTGTGGCACTAGGTATATATTGGGCGGTTTCTAATTTTGGCGACGGCGATCTCCTTTTTCCTGGCAGTAACCAATACGAGCGATTTCGGAAGTGCTGGCTGCGTCTACTGGCGCAAGAGAGTGTCGCGACGGAATTGCAGCGCCAAGGGATTGTCGCTACTGAGCTGGGGACTCACTCTATGCGGAAAGGATCAGCGACGTTTTGTTCGTCAGGGTCAACGGCTTGTCCTTCATCAACGGCGGTTCATTTGCGAGCCGGCTGGTCGCTTGGAGGTGTTCAAAACACCTACCTCCGATATGAAGCTGCTGGCGACATGCATGTCGGTCGTACAGCGGCTGGATTGCCTACCGAAAGTTACCAGTAGTCGACGCTAGCACCACATTTTGATTCACGAGATGAGAGCGTCGAAAACGGGATGAAGTTGATGTTCCCTGGCCTACCCAATAGGCTCGAGTATATTGCAGAATTTTGTCTTGCTTCGCTGGTCTATCATTCCTCTTTCCTGAAGGCTACGCTTTCTCCACAGCACCATTTATTTGAGACGCCGCTTTTCCAAGACGAAGAACTGCTATTAAATCTCACAACCAGAATTAGAACGGGTGATGGTTGCGCTGCGGCGCGTATACGACCGACTGGGGTACCACCTCACGTGGCTACACTCTGTGAAATGAAGGGTCTAAAGGACGGTTTGCTGGAATCGGTGTCAAAAGCTGAAGCTACCCGGCTTGATACTGCTCAAGATATTTTATCCGAGCTCGAAAAGCGAGCTATAGGTGCTGGAACGGTTACTTACGACGGTCTTCATGATGCTATAAGAGCGTGTCTTCATGATAGTGGCGTTGGCGAGCTTGTCGAGAAGCTATCCAGCAGACAAGAATCTGTTGTCGACGCTGCCACTGAAGGCAACGAGGGTCAGCTTTGCCACTACTGGAGTGGAAAGTTTCGGCGTGTACCCGCAGATTTTACCATCCCTGATTGCTCCGTACGTCACGTGTGGGTGCTGTGGATGTGTGGTAACAAGTCGAAGCAGATACCACCGCTTCGCCGTCTTGATGGTCGTGATATGCCCAACAGGAAGATGCAGAAGCGTCTTAGCCAGCTTTGGTTTGTGATGCTCAAGATTGAGAAAGATGCAACATCTAAAGAGCTGTTTCCTTGTAGCACTGCCATCGATGCTGCAACCGATGTGTTCATTAAGTGGGCAAGCAGCGTCGCTGTAGACGACATCACCGAACACTCACGAAAGCGACGCCACGGGCAGCTGAGCTGGGCGACAGTAGGAAAACTGTTGAGGAAGAAAGCAAAAACAACAAGTAGTTAGCAGTGCGTATCAATGAGAACCAAGGAGCTACAAACTGCTTACATTTGTACCCACCTACCAAACATCATACAGAGCAGAATTGTTGGTTTGACAAATGTCTGACTAGTTCCGTCTAAGAATCATTCCCCCAAATTTGTACGACAATGTGGGACACACAGGTATTAGCGTTAGCCATAAGGTCTAGCATTTTCTGAAATCTTACTTCGCCTCCCTATATTCAGCTGGAGTACAACGCCAGCAATTTGCGCA